AACCTTCTAAATATTCCTTTGTATGTGGTTCAGAGTACTGGGACCATTCCCTGAGCCTTCTTGGTCCTGTATTCTGTGTTGTTCTTGGCAGAGCTCGTCACTACACTTGCACCCTATCCACCATCTTTTTCCGGATAACCGGATTCTCTTTTAGCTTTAACTCCACAGAGCAGCCTTTGTTTTTGATGTCCTGTCACTTCCTTAGTGGCTGCTCCCAGGTTTGAGATCTACATCCATGAAGGTCATGACCTAATGCAAAGAGTAGGAGGCACCTGTCGAGTACAGACCAGTGCTGCTGGCAGAATTCAGAAGCATCAGATTGCTGTCACTTGGTGGCTCTGCATGTCACAGGCACAGCTTCAGCAAACAGTAGGTCTGTTTAGAGGCATATCAAAGGCAGTACAGAAGGTTCGATTGCAGCTGTGCTTGAAGGATGTGGAGCTTAGTAGCACATTAGGAGGAAGACTTAAGAGACACTACTTGATACAACAGGTAGATCTACAACAGGGTAGATACTCTACCCTGTTGAACTTGACCCTCTGTCTATTGGAGTTCTACTGATATGCACGTGACTTTCTCTTTGTCTCACATTCTAGGTGCTCATGTGACTATCACGGATCGAAAAGTAGCATTAGAATTTCTTAAATCAAATGTTCAAGCCAACTTACCTCCCCATATTCAACCTAAAGCTGTTGTTAAGGAGCTGACTTGGGGACAAAATTTGGGCAGTTTTTCACCTGGAGAATTTGACCTGATACTTGGAGCTGATATCATATATCTAGAAGAAACATTTACAGATCTTCTTCAAACACTGGGATATCTCTGTAGCGACCATTCCGTGATTCTGCTCGCTTGCCGACTTCGTTATGAACGGGACCACAACTTCTTAGCAATGCTGGAGAGACAGTTTGCTGTGAGTAAGGTTCACTATGACCCCGGAAAAGATGTACATATTTACAAAGCACAGGGGAGACCTCTGAGGGAGGACTTGTAGTTAGCTTTCATTTATAAGACTCTTGTCATTGAGTGTGGCAATAATGGTCTTTAACTGGAAATTGAGCCATGTTTAATTAAATGACTTGCTGTGCAAAATTTGAGTCAAAAGTTCTCAAGGGACAAAGCATATTTACACTTTTAAAACAAACAGCACTTGGTCCCTTTGTTATGACTAGTCTTGTTTATATCATTTTGAAAGCCAATGGACATTAAAGGAAAGTGTAAGGTTTGTGCTTAAGTTGTTTTTTTATCATGTTGCTCCCTCTTGCTAAACAGTTTTCACTGGTACTATGATAAAGGGCTAGTGTAAAGACATCTGCAAGACTTAAAGCATGTAATTACTTTAAAACACATCCTGAGATATGTAAAGTTTCTAATTTTCTGCATATAAAATGAGAGGTTTAACATACATTCCCTGAGCTATTAATGCTATTGAAATATCTGCTGTATGTTGGTCTTCAATACTTCCGTTTGCTTGAGACTCAGGTGTGATTTTTCCAGGACTTCATACTTTATGGTTGAGTTTCAGATTTAATTATACCAATAAAAGAATATGTAAAAATAAAATTGTACTTTTTGAAAAGCACCTAAAACTTGGGACTGGCATATGGTAGGCATAGGTTATCTTCGTCTAATTTAAAGCTGTAGGGTTTTTTTTCCCTTTAGTTTAAACCTTCTCAAATGTTTTTGTGTATTTCTTAATTAGTTTTTCTCAGCCTCTTTATAATCAACAGAATGACAATGGAAAAAATTGTAAATCTCATCCGTTCATGTGAAGGTAGCTTATACCCAACCCTGAGCACCTTCAGTGTCCTATTGAAAATTGTTCAGTCCATGTCTGTATGCTTGAGGGCAGGGAAAGCTTCTTTCTCTTCTTTCACTGTTGCTTCCCCAGTATCTAGTATATCCAAACCATCCAAATAGCTGTAGAAAGAAAAAGAAATTGCATTTAGAGTCCTGGTGACACTGGTAAGCACTGGACCACAAGATCGGCTGTTAAAACTCACCAGCCATTCCCTGTACAGGGTCACTATGACGTGGAACCAACTTGATGGCACTTAACAACAACAACAGCATTGGGGTGGTGATGTAGGATAAGCACTGGACTGCTAACCAAAAGGCTGCTGGTTCAAACTACCAGCCACTTTAAGTCAGAACCAACTCGACAGCATCTTAATTATCTAGTGCTCCTATAACAGAAATAAAGCAGATGCCTTTAACAATCAGAAAGTTACTCTCTTACAGCTTTTGTTGTTGTTAGGGGCCATTGGGTCGGTACCGACACACAGCCACACTATGTACAACAGAACAAAACACTGCCCAGTCCTGCACCAACCTCACAATCGTTGCTACGTTTGAGTCCATCGCTGCTACCACTGTGCCAGTCTATCTTGTTGGGGGTCTTCCTTTCTCTCCTACCCTCCACTTTACCAAACATGATACCCTTCTCCAGGGACTGGTTCCTCCTGATAATATGTCTGAAATCTGGCCATCCTGGCTTCCAAGGAGCATTCTGGATATACTTCTTCCAACACAAATTTGTTTGTTCTCTGGGCAGTCCATGATAATTTTTTTTTTTTTTTTCATGATACTTTTAATATTCTTCAGCACCATAACTAATGAATCAATTCTTTTACTGTCTTCCTTATTCATTGTCCAACTTTCACATACATACGAGGTTATGGCTTAGGTCAGGTGCACCTTAGTCTTCAAATTGATGTCTTTGCTCTTGAAAACTTTTAAAGAAGTCTTGTGTGGCAGATTTACCTAGTGCAATACACAGCTTAGGAGGCTAGCAGTCCAAAGTCAAAGTGTCCGCTCTAGGGGAAGGCTTTCTATTTGTCGGCTCTGGGGAAAGGTCCTTGTCTCCTTTCAGCACCTGTAGGCCCAGCACCCCTTGGAGATTCCTGTACACTTTGGCATCCTTTTTTCCCCTGGATCTAGGAGTGTCACAGTGAAGGGACTCCAGGCTCAGAGGACACGCTCCACACCCTTCTATCATGGTGGTAGTAGCACCCTCTGAGTTCAGTTCACTTCTGTCTCAGTCAAGAGACTGATTCAAGATACAGCCTAATCCTGTAGATTTCATCTGACCTCATGATCATCAAGAAGTAGAGATTTACATCAGATCAGGATTTACCACATCATGGGGTGATTGCATCATAGTAGATCTCATCATGGGAGATTACATCAGAACTGCCAAACCACTGAGAATCCAGACCCAGCCAAGTTGACCCCAAACCTTAAGGATTACAGTGACACTTGCCAACACCACCTCCTGTGTTGAATGACTGTCTCATTTTATGATGATCTTCGTAGACTTCTTGAAGTCACACACACATAAACCTTATTTTAAACAGAGTTTGAGCCTTTTTTATACTAAATTTTAAATTAAAATGTGAAATTTTAATATTCTGAATGAAGTTTTACTTTAATAAAGCTTAATTAAAATTATGAGTGTTCTGTGATACATGAATTCAGCAAAATTCTGATAAATGCTCACAAAATAGAAATATCTCTAACCTGCCAAAATCATAAAATGGCAATACTGTTCCAAGAATATGTTGATGTTAAGTACTGCCGAGTTGGTTCTGACTCGTAGCCACCAAGTATATGGTTTTTGAGGAACAGCTGGTAAGTTTGAACTGCTGACCTTGTGGTCCTGCGCTTATCTTACAGTGCCACACCAGGACTCCTAAGAACGTAAAAGGTATTTTAGAACAAACTAAAAGCCATGCAGTGTCACAAATGCTATAATGAAAATCCACTCTCATCTTAGTATACCATTAGAAATGAAAATATTAATTGGAGTTCAACTCCTTTAAGACCCTACCTTTGGAAATAGGTATTAAAACAGGTATGTGTAGAGCCAGGGGGCTTCACCGAGAGGTCTGGATGCTCTTATCAAGTAGTGAAATAAGTTGTTGGGCATGTTTCACATCTTCACAAAATAACTAAGAATCAGAAAAGGCTGAAGATAATTTTCCCCTCTCACACAAATACACTAAAGGATGCAAAAAAACTGAACAGAAACAATTTGGTTATATAAGTGAAAATCAAGTTGATTTTCTTAGCTTTGAGTTTAGTATGCTGTCTCAGGTCAGTTCCTTGTAGGCAAAAGCCCAGCAATGTAGTTTAAATAGTCAGGCTTTCAAGATCAGTAACCTGGCCTGGGACTGAGAAAGAAATTGGGCGCGAGTGAAGCCAGGAAAGCTTGCAGCCAAATTTTCAGAGCTTATATGCTCTGCTGGTTGAGTCTTATAAAGGTGCTGTTGTTGAGTGCCATCGAGTTGATTCTGACCCATAGCGACCCTGTATAGGGTTTCCAAGGAGCAGCTGGTGAGCATGAACCGCCGACCTTGCAGTTCAAATGGCTTTGCAGTCTGGCACATTACCCCACAGCACCACACGAGATGAATAAAGTATATAAAGGCATTTTACCTTGATAAGGTTCATTGGATGTAAGGAGTGTAACCCTGAAGGCAGTTCCCGAGAAGGACTTAACTGAACCCTGGCAGCCACCACAGTTCCCATTGTGGGAGTGGGGAGAGGTGGAATCTGGTCATCACAGCAATTTCTACTGTGAATGTCAACAAACTTAGGGTATGCCTCACTTATGCTTGGCTTGTCCTAAAGTTATAAGAGAAACCTCTAATCAAAACCTACTTTACTAAGCTTACACTCTCACATTTCTCCTTTACTTTGAGCTAACTAGATAAGTTATTCAGTGGATGTCCGTAAGTTTTCCTCAAATCAAATATTGCCTCAGATGTGTTCAAATATGAGTGCAACATGAGGTTGTTAGGAATACGACTATAAAATAGGCTATTGTTTTTAAGTATGTATATTACTTAAGGAACTCTGGTAGCGTAGTGGTTATGAATTGGGCTGCAAACTGCAAGGTCAGCAGTTCGAAACTATCAGCTGTTTTGTGGGAGAAAGATGAGGCTTTCAGCTCCCATTAAGATTTACAGCCTCGGAAACTCTGTACAGGGTCGCTTGAGTTGGAACTGACTCCACAGCACATAACCACTACCACATTACTTCTAAAGGGTGTCTTGTGTTAGTTTATGACAGAACTATCTGAAACCTTGGTACCGTCTTCTTCAATTCATTTCTAGTAGACCATTTACTTTGTCACACAACAGGGTAAGAATAATCGGTCAAGAAACGTCATCTTATTTTAAATGTCAGTTGCTGTCCATTCAGTTCTGACTCGTGGTGAGCCTGTGTTTCAGAATAGAACTGTGCTTCACAGCATGTGGCTCTGATCTTTTGGGAGCACATGGCCAGCCCTTTCATCTAAGGTACCTCTCGAAGGGTTTAAACCGCCAACCATTCTGTTAGCTTAACAGTTGAACATACCATTGACACTTCTTTTGGGACAGAGCCTGTATTTCTTGAACTTTCAGTGTCTCTCCTAAGAGGTGGAGTTCCTAAGTGGTGCAGCTAAGTGCTTGGCCACTAATAGACTGGTGGTTCAAACCTATCTAGAGGTACTTGGGGAAAAACTCCTAGCAATTGATTGTGGTTTGATTTTCCTAAAATAGGGCTTTGCACAAAAAAGGTATGCAAGTATATAGAATAAACTAAACTTGCATGTGTAACAATCTTTTTCTTTTCATATGAGATTGAGTCCCTTTTATACTTAAGGAATGGTATGGAGGAGCAAGATAATGTGCAGGACTGCAAGGGCAGTTTGAATTGCAAGATCCGTGGTTCGAACCCACCAGTCATTCCTCAGAAACCCTATACAGGGTTGCTATGGGTTGGAACCAATTCAACGGCACTTAACTACAGCAACATTATGTATATGGAGGCCTGGGATGGTGCTATGGGTTGATGTGCTAAACTGCAAAGGCGGTTTTAACTACAAAGTCAACGGTTCAAGGTCACCAGCCAGTCCTCAGAAACCCGATACACAATAAATTATGTGGTCACTCTTTGCAGAAGGGAATGAAAAATTATGGAATTCGTATGCAATCCTTTCAATACAAG